GCCAAGCCTCAGATCAGGGGTCAGACAGGCACAGATGCCTAGGGACCATGGTAAGTCATCTGGGCAGGCCTGGGCCCAGGTGTCCACCAGCTGAGCCCCCCACCCCACTCACTCTCTATGGGTTGGCAGGCCCCTGGGTATTGGCTGCAAGCAGCCTGCCTCCCCCACCCCACTCCCAGGCCAGGCTCCTGGCACCACCTGCTGCCATGGCTCCAGACTCTGTTGCCCCTACCTCCTCCTCCTGCAGGCCAACTTCTCTGCTGCACTGCCACCCAGCTCACAGTGGCTGGGCTTGGGGGGCACAGGGCTCACAGACAACTGGGACAAGCAGGACATTCACTTTGTTCATTGTGTATCACAATCTGCTGGCCCATGTTCCACACTCTTTGTGCTGAATCAGTCATGGATACTTTGGCAAAAATAGGGTGGCTAATGGGTAAGGATGATGATGCACACATACAAGAGGGTGGAGTCAAGGTTGTTCAGGGAAGCTTAACTTTGATATTTCCTGACTTTAGGGCATTCCACTGTGGTAAATTAATGTTCTTATTATAGTCCATATAGGAAATTTTAATATAACTTTATTAAATTAATAGTGAATTTATAAAATAAAAATACAGGGTCAATTTTAATGAGCATTTATAATATACAAGGCAATATCACATGAAAATCCTTCTATTAAAGTTTTTTAGACAATATACTGAATGCTGAGTAAGATGAACAGGAAATTTATATCCATCATCATATAATGCAACTTTCATATTTATAGACTTTGAGTCTTGACTGTGCTCCCAGTGAAGTCCATGAGTTTATCATTGAGATCGATAGCAGCCGGATCAGAGGCAAGATATTTAATTGTGAGATATGGAATGACAGTTGTTTGTCTAATGTTTGCCTTTGTAAATGAGATTTTCCTTCCCAGACATGCTAAGTATTATTTTCAAGGATGTTACAGGTATGTGTATGTGTATTTTAGTTGATTTTGCTTGTACTGTTACTATAAGCAAATGTTATATGAGCTGAATTGGGATTCACTCCCTTTTGCTGTGACAACAGTTCAACCAGTGCTAAAAATTTATCAATATAATTTCTGCATGCAAATCATGCTGAGGTTATGAATTCAAATGTAGTTTTC